GCCCACCAGTCCGCCGCGAACAGCTCGCGCCGCGTCTCGAAGGGGTTGCGCACCGCGTGGCCCGCGGCGCTGCGGGTCACCAGGATATCCTCCTCCACCAGCTCGTGGTAAACGGCGCGTGCTGCGGCGCGATCAAAAAACGGTTGGTTGATTGTTTGCAAAGAACTTTGACAAAACATCGGTGGAACAAGGTTGAGACAAGGTGCCCGGAGAATCTGGTGGATGTGCAAATGGAGGGTTGGGGATGTAAGGTAGCTGTGCGCGGGCGGAGGGGAGGTAGGTGCGGGGCGATGGGGCGCGCGCGGGGACGGCGGGCGGGGCGCGGGCGCGGCGCAGGGCGTGTGCGGCGCGGCAGCTCGTGGTGCGACGTGGGCGTGTGGCGCGGAGGGCGTGAGGGGTGGGGCTGCTGGTGGAGAGGGTGGGGGGGCCCAGGGCGAATGGGGGGTGATGCGGGTGTGTCCGTGTGCGCGTGTGTGTGCGTACGCAGGTGTATGTACACGTGTGTGTGTGATTGTGTAATTGTGTTTGCATGTGTTGTGTTTGTGCGCATGCGCGCGCGCGTGGGCTCGCACACGCGCACACGCTTGGGGCAGGGGGCGAGCAAATAGACAGCTAAAGCAGCCAGCAGGCAGCTAGGCCATTCAAGCCATCCAAACCGCCCCACCGCACAAAGGTATCCTCTACCCTCGGCCCCCACTCGCGCCGCCCTGGCCCGCCCCACCATCGCTGAGCTCGCAGGGCTTCGGGTTGCTTGAGTCGGCACGGCCCCGCAGCGCCACCAGCGCAGGCAGGACGTGCTCGAGCTTCACCGCCTCTGCGACATTGATTGGTGGGGTTGGTCATTGAGCAGGGGTCCGATGCATACGGGGTCCTAGCGGCAGCATGCGAGATTCGATGCTCGCATGCGTGCATTCAAGTTTGTGCAGACGCGCGCGCTCCCTTCAAGGGCGGCCGCCGACCGCCGATCGCGGCAGCGCCGGCACGGTAATCGCACGGAGCGCCCGGCCAAGTACGCGTCGCCCTCGCCGCTCGAGGCGCGTGGCGCGGCTCCACTTGGGGTGCTGCCCGGTCAGCTGCCGCACCGCCCCTTGCCCCCCCTGCCTCCAACCCGAACTCGCCGCGGTCGCCCCCCGCCCTGTTGCAGGTCCCTGCTTGCTGTATCCCCTAGTGCCTGAAATCAGGTGAGAAAACCCACCATCCAACCGCTCCAGGACCCGAGCCGAGCCCAGAAACCTGGCATGTGCATCTGCAGGGCCAAGATTTGGGTGTGTGTATCAGGCAGGGCCACCCTGCCAGGGCCGTTGGGAGGGTTGAGGGGCCGGCCGCGGCGCAGGGCAGCGGCACATGGTCCCCAGGGGCGCGCGTGGGTGGCGCGCTGCGCGCTTGCCTTCGTTCCGAGAGAGCGTGTAAAACAGGGCGCCGACCGCGGAGCAGACGACGCCGCAGACAGAGACGCCAGAGCCGTCCGTCATGCTGCTGCCCAGGCCCGCGCGGCCGCCGAGGGCGCTAGCTGTGCTGCAGTTGGAGAGAGGGTCGTCCCGTTCGCCGCGCGCCCGTGCTGCGTGGCGCAGCAGGTGCAGCGCGTGCACAACGGTCGGGCTGAATCCCTGCTGAGGCCGTGGCTTTCGCTGGGACAGCTGCGTTCAAGAAGCCTTCATGTCGAACATATGGCTAGCGTCAGTCGATTGACACAACCGGCACGTTCGCGGCGGAGGGCAACTGTGACAGGCAGCGTGCGATCAGTGGAGATGTTATTGCACTGCGATGAGGGTTTATATTTAGTGGCAATGGTTATACCGCGATGGCGACACATCAGGATGGATGTGTCAATCAGTCAAGTCATCAACGGGCCACCGCCATGCCGAGCAGGGAGCACATCAGCCTGGTGCCAGAATCTGATGTGCAAAGGCCACACAGTCAGTACCGGTCAAGGTTTGCTGCATATAATCGCAAAAGGCAGCGCTGGCTCTCCATGCGGGGCCTGTGACAGCTGACCGATCACCCTGCAGTGGCCTGAGAAGAGTTGACCCATCAGCGTGCAGCGAAGCCAAGCGTTGACTGCAACCAGGGAGGTCACATCACAAAGCTATATTCTCAAATTGGGAGGTTCTGCGTAGAACATAATGCAAGGATCACCGTAGTAGCCCATGGCGCAGCACCTGCAATCAATACACACGCAAGGGCGAGGCAGACAGCCTGCTAGGCTTGGAGCCTAGACGCGCCGACCTGCCCCCACTGCCTGCCTGGATTCGCGCTTGATCAAGTTTCGGCTGCAACGCACGCCCCCATTCCGTCTTGGCCCTGCTGGCGGATGGAAGCCACCCGGCCGCGCCGCTTGAGCCCATCCATATGGTCACCAGGATGGTCGCGCGCAACGTGGTGCCGCTGTTTAGGCTTATTAGGGCCAGTACCTGAACGCTCGTGCCTTGCCGTCAGTTGCGCCAGCATCTATCTGTTGGTAGGGTTTCAGATCTGCCGCCGGGCCGCAGGCCACAAAGTCAAGTGTGCTGTCAGACGCTGTTGCATGCTGCAGCGGTCCCCTGCCAGCCCCTCCAACCCCCTCCAACCCCCCGCCGCCTGCCGTAACATCCAAACTCGGCCGCCGACCGAAATACTAGACACGACACAAGGTTACAGCAAGGCCGGCGCATCCCACGTGTACACCCTCACGAGGCCCTTGCCACAGCTGATCCACTCGGACAGTCGATCACCGAAGCAGGAGTCCTGAAACCTCACTCTGCTGGGGCGGGTGCGCGCGGGCGCACCGGAGGGTGAGGAGCCAACAACATTGCAGGCGCAAAAAGGCAGCAAGCAGTCGCCAAATAGGTGTGATGACGCTGTGGCTGCCAGCCAGCCACTGGGATGTGTCGCACCACAACCGGTCAAAGACCTTTGCAGGGGTGTTGGGCGACCCGCCACTGGTAGCATTGTGGGCAAGCAGCGCCTAACACGAAACTTGAATGGACACAGGCTGGCGAAACAGGCCAGTGGCGCCAAACCACCAGAGAGGGGGGCGACATCGAAAACAGGTGGGGTAAAGGTGTACAGGGGAGATGGGCAGCTGCAAAGATTGTGCTCTCCGCCCGGCTGGCTGGGCGCAGCGCGGCATGTGACATGGAGCATGCACGCTGTACCTTTGGGAACACTTTATGATGAGATACGCGCAAGCGGCCGTGGAGCAAGAGAGGTGGGCGCAGGTGGTGGCCGAGGGAGGGTGGTGAACCTGCTGCCCACAAACAACAGATAGAGCGAATTCAAACGACGCGTGTTCGCCCCCTGCAGTGCGTGCACCCCTTTTAGGGTGCCTTGCAGCACCTGCCGCCAAATCCAAGCCACTCTGCACAAGTTCGGCGCCGCGCGTCCGCACATGGTGCTGCGCTGCTGAGCGGTCGCACCCCGCGAACCGCCCAGCAGAACCACACACGCAGCGTGCTCAATGCGTGGCTGACCCGTGCAAACAAAGAGAGGGCGTGACTACTCGACTAGGAGGCGGCTGTCTGGAGTCACAGTCACCCCTCCCCCTCCCCCAGTGTGCGGGGGAGGAAAAGTATGCCCTGCCCGTACCACCCCCGCGGGCCTGCCAGTGGGGCGTAGCGGTGGCGCAGGCCCCTCGATCTGCCAGCCAAACATGTCAAACAGCTGCAGTGCCTCTACCAGCGTCGTCCTTGCCCTCGACCACCTCCACTGTGGCCGCCGGTGCCGCGCCCTCTCCTTCCCCGAGAGTCTCGCCTGCACGGCAGGGGCGAATGCGGAACAAGGAACAGAAGCGTCTGAGCATGTGTGACGGCGGGAAGCAGCACAAAACAAGGTGCAGGTGCAGGCCAAAGGTGCTGTGAAAAACCAAACGGAGTCATGAAAAAAGCAGGGTGAGGAAGAATAATACATAAAACCTGATTTGTTGCAAGCCAAGCAATCGGCCCCCTACAGTAGCCGTGCACACAGGCGGGGCAATGTCAAGCTGCTGCCAGCGGCCAGCCAGCTCAGGCGTTGCCCCTTGAAACCCGCCTTCGTCACCCCTCGCACCGTGCACCATCCGGTAGTGCAGCCCCTGCGCAACAGGACCCCCCCCCGGCGAGATGATGTTGGGAATGTTATATCCGCAGTTTTGGACTTGACCGAGTGATCAAGGCCTCTGGGGCGTCGTCGCGGCGCAGTGGAGGGACCCAGAAAACCATCCCAGGGCATGTGGCCTCCGCTGCGATGCCTGCATTAACCCAAACCAATGGTTGGACGGGCAACGCCTGCAAAAATTTCTGCTCCTTTCTGGCGCGACACTTCCGCGCAGGCGGTGCGGTTTTCATTCCCCCGCCGCCGCCGGATACTGCACGCACCCACCTGGCCGGTGACGTCATACTGCGGCGCGTAGCCCTTGCCGGTGTCCACCGCCTCGTCGGGCTTCTCATTCAGCATGGAAGACGCCATCTTGTCCCACCTAATACCGTGACAAACACGATAGTGTTGTCGTAATGACAATGCGGTTAGCAAGGCATAAGGTGCAAGAACGCCGCCAGGCGCATGAGTCACCTCTGCCTTACCTGCGCCGCTTGACTATGGCACCAACACACATGACGGTCGCAAGCGAACGCATCACAGGACAAAATCGCACGACCGTGCAGGCCACGCGACCGTGCAGGGCATGCACACGCACCAGCTGTACTTGCTGCGCGCGTCCCGCTTGGCCGCCGCCCTGTAGACGTCCAGCCGCGCCGCAAAGGCGCCGCCCTGGACCGGCGTCGACGAAGGTGTCGCAGGCTGAGACCTGGGGCTCGACCCCAGGGACAGAGGGGACCCCACCTCAAAGTGCGTGTCTGGTTGTGAGACGGGTGGCAGCGGAGATGCGCGATGTGGAAGTTCTGAGGGCAAGTTGGCCGGGTGCGGAGAATGGGGAGGGAGTGGCGCCGGCTGGCAGGAGATGCGCAGCCGCCCATGTGTTCGACTGCAGGGGCCCAAACGCCGCACAGCAGGCGGCATCGCCGCCAGCTGCGCAGGCGTGTTCGAACGCGACACGCTCGCGACCGGGCCGCTGCTGCGGGGCGCAGGCGCGGCTCACTGGCTGCAGTCAGGCGCTGGGGCTCACCCTCCAGGCGCCAGTCCCGCGGCAGGCTGGCCTGCCGCGACATCACCCCGCGCGTGGGGACGGAGTGCTCCCAGCTGCGGCGCTCCAGGCCTATCGTCTGTGAGCGCTGCAGCGGCGGGCGCTCGTCGCCGCCGCCGGCCCCGCCGCCGCCGCCGCTGTGCCTGCAAGTGCGAGGGAGGGTGGTGGGATCGTGGGGCACGGGTGCTGCACCGCGGGACAGCGGGGTGGACGCGCAGGATAGCCGTCTGCAACGCCATGCGTGCAGAGGCTGCCTGGCGGCGGGCAAGGCCGCAGCTTCCTTCCCAGTGGCTGCCTGGCTTTTCCTGGCGTCGCAAATCCACCTAAGCTGCAGACGAAACGCAGCTGCTGGCCAGCAGCCGAGCCAAGCCGTGCGCACACATGCAAGAGGCTATAATTGCAAGCGGCATGCGAGCGGCAGACAAGTGGCACGCCAGCTGCATGCCAGCTGCATGCCAGCTGCATGCAGGCTGTACGCACGTGTTTGCAAGCTGTACGCACCTGCAGCTCTTGATCCTCTCAAGCCGCGCGAAGTAGCCCCTCTGTTCCTCCTCATCAAGATAGTCCTCTAGCTCTGGGGTGATGCGTGCAAACAATTGTTGCAAGGGCTCCGTTTCCGGGTGCCGTTTCGGGGTTTGCAAGATGAGGCCTCCATTTCTCGGGAGTCCCATTGCGGCGTGCCACCCACAGTGCAGGCCCCACCAGGCCATACAGCGGGGGGGAGGAGCCTCGGCTGGGGACTGATGTGACGTGCGGGCGCAGTGCGACGCCGCAGCTGCGCCCCGAACGCGACAGATGGGGATTGGTAGAGGCGCCCCGGCGCGCTGATGCAGCGCCGTGCGCGGAGCACGAGCTGGCCCATCTTATTGGCCATGTCACAAGAGGGCGTTGCCGCACCTTTTGGTGGGACGCCGGGCAGCCGCTCGTCCCATCCTGCGCGAGAGAGTTGAGGACAGCTGTTGCAGCCTCTTTATCCCTGTGCCTCTGCTGCGTTGCGCTGTTGTGCGTTGCCACCCACAAAGCGCGGCCATCCCTGAAGGAGCGCCCGCTGCGCCGCCTTGAAGAGCAGGAGACAGAAACCAGCTCAAACCTGGAAGAAGGCTCCCCATAGTTGTTTCTGGTCGTGCAACGGGCCGGAAAGGGGCGGCCCCGGGTCGTGTGGGCCTTTCGGATCTGTGCGACGTTGTGAATGTGCAGTATGTAGACGCGAACGTGAATTCCTTGTAAGTCTGTTAAAGTTTGGAAGCTTTTTTCGCGTGTGACAGGCGCTTAGGGACAAGCCGCAAATGGATCCTCGACTTGGCGATGACGTGGCCATTTCGGCCG